AATTGGTCCACATCTCAGTAGACTTCCTCAGGGACACAATGAAGTATGATAAAACATACAATGCAAACAATTACCAAAGGAGATCATGCAGCCTGAATATCCCTCTCCTCCCACTGTCATTCCCCAGATGTTATTTAAGTAGAAATATAAGTGATAAGGAAAGAGTGAGTTGGCAGTTGACAACCCACTTGCTGTTTCAGCCTCATGGCAAAGCCTCTGTATGCCTTCAGCCCTAAGCAGGTGGGGTGGATTTCCAGTAGCAACACTGGTAGTGGAGCTGGTGGACATGGAAGTGGATTCAGAAAAAAGATTCCATGTACATGAAAGAGGCTGCTTGGGAAAATGACTCCCAGTCCTAACCATGTGTCAGGAAAGTATAGGTTCTCAACACACAACTATAGAACATTTAACAGGATAGTCCGTATGACCGGTCCTAAGGATAGCTGGGCTTAACATAATAGAGAAAGAGAGTAGTCAAAGTATAAGCCAAGGTCAATGGATAAGAGAAAAGCGACATTACATAAATAACAAGCCAGTGTCAGCATTGAAGAGTTCTGAATAGTGAAGACAAGTCAGAAATCAGCTACCAGAATATCAAACAACAATAAGGAACCCACTCTAGGGCTATAAAAGACTACAACAAGGCACAGATCTCCTAATGGTCTTAGTTTATAAAGGCCTTTTGTCTGGCAGTGGCATAATCAGAATGGCACCAAAACAGTCTAGGTGATTATTGCTGAAATGACACCATACTTGCATCAGTTTGTCTCTATAAACAAGGGTGGTCACAGCATTTTGCGAAAGTGTAACACTATAGTGAACTTAACTATACAAAATTAAACAGTGTTATTCACTAAAGTGTGAATTCACAGTGAATTCAAAGTGATTTGTAAATTTAAGGCCAGAGTAGCTGAACTGAAAGCATAGCTGACTTACAGAATTCTACCAGTTTGGATATTTTGACCTTAAATTTGCGGGGCCTGACTGTCATGGAGTAGAGACGTGCTGTGCTTGAGCTCCTCTCCTATGCTGGCAATTAATGCAGTTTTCAACCACACCAAATCTGATTTCAAATGTGCCCAACTGACTTCTCACAAAGCTGAAGTATTTTGCAGGTATCGGAGATCTGGCAAGAGTTTATCTGCTGCTCGATCTGAACCATGCGGCCTAGAGAGCACCAGGTGGGGAAAGCGGCCGATCTCCCAGACTGAGACTGGGGCTTCTCGATGGCTTTCAGCAACGTGCTGGTGCCTGCTAGCCCCCCTTTGGACTGGCGGTGGTGATCCCGATCCACCCCTGGGAGGCTATACCAACCTACTGAGGGCAGGAGGTAAAGTCGCAGAGACAGAGGAACAATGTAGTGACTTGCCCAACATGGCGGACGCCATGAGGCACCCTGACATCATGGAGGGAAAACTTGATATATTGTCCAGGTTTTGGACAGGATTTTCCACAAATTCTGGCGGAAACTAGAGGAGAAGAGGCACCAAGCCACCTTGCAGCAGCCGTACAGCCACTCACCTCAACAGCTGACATCTCACTTGCTCAAAAGACCAAAGTTGAGGAGGACCCCAAAACAGCAGAAAGCAACCATCGCTTAAATGCAAAGCGGCACATAGGAGAGAACCATCACGTACAAACACTGGGACTCTTACAGTGTCCAAATCTCAACTGCTGCGGCTCACCACTAGATCAGGCGGGAAGGCCGTGGAGCAGCGAGGATTACAAATCCTGCCCATAGGCATGCGCAGCCTATTGCATAAGGGTGTGCACCCTAAAGCACAAGCACACGCCGCGTGTATATAAATATATACACACACTGCTGTGTGTGTGTGTGTGTGTGTGTGAGGGCGCTGTGTGTGTAAGGGTGCTTTGTGTGTGGGGGTTGCTGTTAGTGTGTGTGCTGTGTGTATGTGTAAGGGTGCTGTTTGTGAGTATTTATTTGGAGGGACTCTGGGGTTGGGGGGGGGGCATTTAGGAAATAGCCCGCTCTCTTCTTACCTTTTGTAGGAAGGGGGGCTGTGCTGCTACCATTCCTGGTGGTCCAGTGGTAAGTGAACTCTAGCTGCGGCAACGCTCCGACCTCGCAAGAGGAACCCAGCAGAGCTGCTGGCTAGAGCTCCCCACGTCCTCTCCTGCCTCCCTCCCTGTATGTGGGCTCCCCACCAGCCCATAGCACAGGCCACAGGGATTATGGTGTGCCCAGGCACACCCCGTGCGCACGCCTATGATCCTGCCCTTTAAATGGAGCAACCGGCTCTCGGGCTGGCGGTATATTTTGCTGTTGTAGAACAGTGCTCAGGCCATGGAGGGCATTGGATGAAGGAAGCTTCCAACCTGGATGCTAAAAGGCTCATAACCACTCAACTTTTCCCCTTTTGGGAGTATTATCTAGTATGTACTATTGTTTAATCCTCTTTGTGCATTCTACACTGTTTATGTAGGCATTGCCTTTCATCTTTTCTTACCCCACTACCTTGGGGGCTTAGTAGGGGTCTTAATCAGACAAATTAATCGTTGTTACAAAACCATATATAAATACAATAAATGTGTCTATAAAACAGTCTGTGTAAATAGGATACATTGTTCTTATTATAAATTACATTTTAGCTGGGGCAGGGCCTAACCATCATGGCGGAGAGTTGTGTTTCTCATGGACTCCCGCACAATATCGGCAATCTGAGCAAGCTATGGCTTCTTCCAGTGAGACAAGCGACGGTTCCGTACAGGGGCGTTTTAGCCGCGAGGCAAACAAGGCATTTGCCTTGGGCGGCATTTTTCAGGCGGCGGCAAAAAACGCCGCCCCCAAATGCCCAGGGCAAATGCCTTGTTAGCCTTGCGGCTAACAGACATGCCGAGCGGCCGGGCGGCTGGTGAGGGAAAAGCTCACTCACAGGCTGTCGCTCAGCTCCCTGCAGCGCCTTAGGTGAGGCTGGGGGCGGGAATATGGCGTCATCTTCCGACCGGCCTCCTCTACCGGCAGCCGAAAAGCTTCAAGCAGTTATGAAAAACTCCCCTACTCCAACTTTCCACTTCATAACCAGCGCCCGCAGCCACTGGACCCACACAAGGGAATGAGAACCCCAGCATTTCCCAAGGTAAGGAGGGAGTAAAACAAAAAATGTGTTAATGTGAGTGTGTGGTAGTATTGTCTCTGTTAATGTGTGTGTGTGTTTGTTGTTGGCCTCTGCTAGTGTGTGTCTGCTAGTGAGTTGGAGTGTGTGTGTCTGTCCAGTGTGTGTGTGTCTGTTAGTGTGTGTGTGTGTCCTGACAGTTTTGTGTCTGTTAGTGAGTATGTGTGTGTCTGACTGTGTGTGTGTGTGTGTCTGACTGTGTGTCTGTGTGTGTGTCCTGACTGTCTCCCTGTAACAGTGTGTGTGACTGTGTGTAACTGCTTGTAACTGACTGTGTTTGTGTGTAACTCTCTACCTGTAACTGTGTGTATGTCTGCCTGTGACTATATGTGTGACTGTCTGCATGTGACTGTGTGCGTGTGACTGCCTGTAACTGTGTGTGACTGTCTGCCTGTAACTGTGTGTGAGGGGGTGCAGGGATTTTGTAGAGGGAGGCAGGGGTTTTAAAACGTTTACAAATTTGTTCAATACATTTTTTTAAACTCTTCATAGTTATATCCAGACATGTCAGAGTCACATTACACCAATAAAAATAGTATACACATCCCATCCACCAATAAAAATAGTATACATACGACATCCAGCAATTGAATTTATAGCATTAATAGCATTATAGGTGCTCAAAACGTTGATGAGGTGCTCAAAAAAGGTAGAGAAGAGTAGAAATTTGAGTAGTTTGAAAAGGGACTTAGAAGATGGTAGCCCATGGAGCTGTGCAGCTAAGAGGAATGGGCCTTGACATTGCTAGGAGACAGGCATAGACAGGTGTAGTGGGGGGGACTGGCTAGTATAACTGGAGGTGGGATTTGTGCTAGAGGAGGATATATAGTAGCCATTTTAGATCAGGGGCCATCACAATTAATCCTCACTTACCTGTTTTGTCCCAGCCTCCTTCCCTCATTTGGTCTCTAGCTCCCGTTTGGTTACAGTAACAGCGGATCGATAGAGAAGTTGGGGTGTAGGTTGTTTGTCCTGATTTAAAATAGTTTGGTTTGCTAAGAACAGTTAGGTTTGAAAGGGTATTGGTAGGTTCAAACTCGTTGGTAGCTCCGAACCTGGTGTGTGTAGGGTGCATCTCGGTATACCCCTACATAGAAGAAAGCTGGAAATCATGCCCTCATTGGCAATAGTTATGTTTAAAGATTAATTATATGTTATAATGTGGTTTTACTTATTGTGACGTGGGTCATTGTCTGGGGTAGTATTGTTAAAGGAGTTGGGGTTAATATGTTATGTTAATAAGTGACAATGACCTTAATTTTTTTTTGTTAATTCTTTATTTTTCATGTGCTTAGATTAACAACAAGTGTGCAGAGACACAACAGCTTCTGCAGGCATTTTCATAACATTTTGCAGTTTAGACAGCACATTTTTTTTTTATATAACATGAGGAATACAGGCAATGAGACATAAGTGTACTATAGTTTAGCATGCTAGTCTGACCGTGCATATAACATGGCTAGTAGCCCTGAGGCTTGTAAGTATAAAGCATTGCATTGTCGTGGAAGACAGCTGTTATGTTTACGGTGTAGGTTGCATGTTATCAACTATAAAGATGTCAGCAGTTCTACCGCTAGTTTTAAATCACTCTTAGGTTGTCCCATGAGATAAGATTAGTTACTAGCATAATACATGAGCGGGTATAGTAAATACTTGTGAGGATCCATGGCAATAGACTCTTTAGGGGGTGAAATAATGGCATTTTTAAATCAAGTGTTGCTTTACGATTAGCTGACGTGCAGAGAGCAGTTCATATGAGTAACGGCATGGTGTGGAGGTCCATTTGGGGTGAAGCATGCCTGACAGACTCCGATCTACTGCTTGTGGAACTTCAGAGACAGGTGTCTGGTTATGTGCCAGGTTTCCGACTTGTGGTGGTGAGGGTTTGTTTCATCAGGTGGTCTGCGCTGGCTGGGTGCCACATGTCCGGTACGGGTGTGTCGCGGCTTAAGGTGGGGGCAAGTGCTTTTCATGGGGCAGGCTCTGCATTTCTGTTTATGCCTCCGGTCCCTTCTTCGGTGCCTTTTTGGGGAGCCTCTGGTGGCTATTGGTCTGTGTCCGCCCTTGGGGCCTGTGATTGCCTGGGGTAGTGGCGCGGGATTAGTCCGCTTGGCTTTAGCTGTGCTCAGCGCCCTCTCCGAAATCTTGGCCCAGAAGGCAGCAAGGATTTCATCCAGCTTGGTCAGTGTGTCATTTATCCGCTCTCCGCATTCACCCGTGTTCGCCGGCTTGCGCGTAGCATCCGCCATTTTTGGGTCAGTGACTCTTGATGCTTGCAGTCTCTGGGATGTGAGTGGCAGCGGTGGGTATGCTGCTGGTGCCGGGATATCCCCCTCCGGCGGGGGGGGAAGAGGGGTGGAAGGCTCGTGGGTGGTCCTCTGCAGTTTTAGAGTTGGCTTTCAGGGAGTCCCAGGCTGGGTGATCGGCCGCCTCACCCGCGCCCTTACCTCCGCTTAGGCTTGTTGTCGCTGCGGTAGGCCCTAGTGATGCAGCCCGTGTTCTCGGTGGCTCAGCGTTACCGAAGTAGTCTCTGTATGATCCCACTTGCAGCCCCTACAAGGGTGGTGTGATTTTGGTGAAATTGTAGCATGTGAGCCAGATTTATTTCTCTTAACGTAAGATTTCAGGCGGGAGCTTGTGCTATACACATCTGATCAGCTCCACAGCCAGGCTCCACCCCTCCTTAAAATATTTTAAGTATTATTTATATATATTATTAAAGCTGTGATATTTTTCCCAAATAAAGGTGTCCAAGTATTTGTGCAGGTGGCTTTGGGTTTGTTAAGCATATACTTAAAAAGGTATCTATGCATATGTCATGAACAATCAGAGCAGGATCAAAAGTAGGATAAAAAAAGAGAATTAGCAGGTAGTGTCTTATTTGCAGTCCTTGTGACTATTGAGAATATGTATGTGGGTTCAATGTGGTTTATAGCAGAAGGGAAGAGAAACATTATATCCAAAGATAGTAGGCAACTCCTCTGGGGAATGAATAAGCTGGCTGAAGTGGCCCAGTCAGAGTCCTGACCTCAACCCGATTGAGATGCTGTGGCATGACCTCAAGAAAGCGATTCACACCAGACATCCCAAGAATATTGCTGAACTGAAACAGTTCTGTAAAGAGGAATGGTCAAGAATTACTCCTGACCGTTGTGCACGCCTGATCTGCAACTACAGGAAACGTTTGGTTGAAGTTATTGCTGCCAAAGGAGGTTCAACCAGTTATTAAATCCAAGGGTTCACGTACTTTTTCCACCTGCACTGTGAATGTTTACAGTGTGTGTTCAATAAAAATATGGCAACATTTCATTCTTTGTGTGTTATTAGTTTAACCCCTTAAAGACACATGACATGTGTGACATGTCATGATTCCCTTTTATTCCAGAAGTTTGGTCCTTAAGGTGTTAAGCAGACTGTGATTGTCTATTGTTGTGACTTAGAAGATGATCAGATCACATTTTATGACCAATTTGTGCAGAAATCCATATCATTCCAAAGGGTTCACATACTTTTTCTTGCAACACATACTTATAAACATTAAAGTGGAGTTGTTAAATAAGCCCATATACACTGCATATTACATGTGATCTACTAGCATACACAAACCAGTACTTAATGTACTAACTAATGCTTAACCTCTTTCAGCATCCTCTCCCATTTACATACACATTGTTCCTTCTCCTCTCATGTACATCTACACGCCGTGTAATTTATGCCCTTTTCTCATATTTACATGCCCATACTTCTCTGAAAATAAATGTATTTCCTACCCATTGTACAGCACACCTTCCCTTACCAAGGGACCAGGCCTGGACATCGGGAACACCGGGCAAATGCCCGTGGGCCGCGATGGCCATGGGCCGACAAGGGAGATCAAGAGATTTCCTCTTCCGGCCCATACAGAGCCCGCGCTATCGGAGTGCCGGCCCTGCTGTGTGCCTTCATGGGCCGGTGGGGAGATCAAAAATCTCCCTCACCAGTTCACAGATACTTTACAATGGAAGAAGGGAGAGCGCGGAGGACCTGGAGCTATTAGCTCACACCTCTGCCGGGTTCCTCTCGCAAGGTCGGATCGTTGTCATGGCCACGCTCCGATCTTGCGATAGTGAACTCTTGGAGCTGTGAGCGCACTCCCCACTATGGCCACCATGAATTTTCCTCAGGACTACCAGGACTGGTAGCAAAGTCCCCCCTCCCAGGCAAAGGTAAGGGAGGGGGATATAAGCTATATATTTATTATATATATATATATATATATATATATATATATATATTACTTTTATCTTCCCCCACTGCACCCCAAACACACACTGCACCTGCCACACACACTGAGTAACTGCATCCCTCCCCCACACACACACTCTAATTACACCCCCACACACACACACAATTTAACTGCACCCCTCACAAATGCACACAGATTCTAACTGTACCCCACACACACACACTCTTACTGCACCCCTAACACACAAACACTGCACCCCTCACACACACACACATTGCACACCAAACACACACTCTAACTGCACCCCTCACATGCACACTGCACCCCAAACACACACACACTGCTCCCCAAACACACACACTCTAACTGCACCCCTCACAGACTCACTGACCCAAAACACACACTCTAACTGCACCCTTCACACACACACTGCACCCCAAACACACACAGACTGCATCTTCACACTGCATCTTCACATGTACACAAAACACACCCCAAACACACACACTCTAACTGCACCCCTCACACATACACACACTGCATCCCAAACACACACACACTCTACCCCAAACACACACACTCCTCCCCAAACACACACACTGCATCTTTACACACACACACACACACACACCGCACCCCTCACACGCACACTGCACCCCAAACACACACACTCTAACTGCACCCCACACACACTGCGTCCCAAACACACACACTCCTCCTCAAACACACATACTCTTTTTTTTTTTTTTTTTATAATATTTTTGCTTTTTGGATATACAAAAACAGACCATTACATATCATCAAGAATACAATATTTGACATCCAAATCACTATGACAGTCTCAATGCTATTATTGTCCAAGTCAAAAATTAGTATATCTATTTTAAAATCAATCATTTCTGAGACATTAACAAACATTCAAAACAAAACAAAAAAACAACATCTCGCAAATATCCAATTTACACCCCTCCTAGCCCCGAAGTCCCCACTCCCCTTTTCCCCATAATGCAGTTCCTACCTGGTTGGGTTCCTGAAGAATGACTTGTTCATGTTTAAATTTGCCTACACTGATCCTAGTTCATTCCTGAATTGTAGAAGCCAAAGCTTGACATAATAGCCTGCACCAAGCAATACAAAGGTGTACATTAGGAATTAGGGGATAAATACAAAGCACCAGTTCACAATTTTTCCTTATAGACAAGGCTACTGAACATACTAGCCTGCCTGAAGATTCACCAAAATGTGGTTTGGTTCCAATTCCTATTTTCTGTGTGTATGTATTAAGGCAATTTGCCTGGATTTGTGGGAGGTGCTTGGTATCCACTCCTAGCCTACTTAAGGCACACCCCTTACCTTGCTCCTTACCGTTCGAGGTCAGTGTTGAATGAGGATTCCGGGTTCTCTCAGACGCCATCTTGGTTTCAGTATCCACAAGGTTTTACTGCGGCAAACTGTGTCTAGGAATCCTGTTCAGGCCTTTTCCGTCCGTCCAGCTTCTTCTGACCCCGGTCTTTGTCGTAGATCGCGTCCCAGGGACTCCTAAACCGTAAGTCAGACCTACCTGTCACGCCAGGATCGGTTCCCACGGCGTACGGTACAGCACGGGTACTCGCTTTACGTTTTTCCCTGATATGTCACAAAATTGTACAAACCGTTCGCGGTTTTCATTCGTACGGTCATTCGGCTAATCGGGATATTCGTATAAATAGTCATTTCGCATATAACTAGTCTATGTCATTGGAACAGATTATCATTTCGGTTGTTTTGCCATTCGGCACTTTTTTCATGATACGCTCAAACACGCTTGCGGTTCGCATAAAATTCATACGTTTAAACTATTCATTCCAACTTCTGTTTTCCCTCACATTGGGTTTCGGTTTTATTTCTATGTATTACGCATAATCCTTTCGTGGATTACATTCACCATTTCATGTATATAACATTCGGTTAATGAATTGCTGGTTTAAATAGACAGATTATTTCTATTACTGTTTAAAGGTATCAGTATTGTATTATGTCCATACAAATACCAAGCTCACTTATCTGTATGGATCATTTTGACTCCCACGCTTTCAGGGGTCTGCCATACTTATCCATTCATTCAAATGGACTCAGTCTACATTACAGGCCTCATTTCTTTGTTATAACTACAACACATATATAAGGATACAGTTTCCTTTTACAAGCAATAAATTCTCGGGTTGAATCACGTACTGATCCAACCCATCATACGTCTTTTTCAATACAGATATATCATATACATATATATAACTTTACATCACTTTAAGTCATTTTGTGTATCACTGGCCTTTTGTTATTCCATTACATATCATATATAACGCTGGTTAAATATAGGCACGGCCTCCCTCATCCATGTTCTTTTCTATTTTACACCATCATATATTCCCCACTGTTTTACACAGAAATGTGCATTAAGACACGGCATCACTATGCCTTAGTAACACATTTATACTCTCATGGTATATCACTACACTTTTTTAC